ACTAACATTCTATTTCACACATAGTTTGGTTTCTTTTCCTCAGCTCTCCCCTACCTCCAGTTTCCTTTCTCCTGTCTGTTCCCTGCATTCCCTTCTCCCCCTTTTCTTTTTTTCCCATCTGTGCCTTAAGCCAGCTCAGGGCTGTCACAGCTCTTGTGAGAATCACATTTTAAGAAGCAGGTCAGGCCACATAAGGCACTTGCTTAAGCCAATTCTTTTGTATTTTTCCTTTTGCCCTGTGGAAGGGGCCTAAGCCAACTGAAAGATTAGATCTAGAAGCCTCTACTCAGTTGTGTACCATAGGTGAAAAGTTCTTTAATTTTCTGTTTTGAGAGAACATGCACATTTTCAGTGATAGAATACTTGTATGTACTAAAAAGTAAAGTATCTTTTATGTTTTTGTTGAAGCTGGTTGATAGGTACATGGGGGTCCTTTATACTATTTTCTCTACTTTTGCGTGTNAAGAGAATGACAGTATTCACCACATGACAGTATTCAGAAATTCATGGTAACCAAAATCATTCTATGGAATTCCAAAAAGGATTCTAATAGAGTAAGCAAAAATATTATTAGATGATGATGTTCATATGAATCCTTTGGCAGAATCCTCATATTCAGACCAGTCAAAAGTGAGATTGGAGTCCCCAGAAAATAAGCTAAGCATTCCCACCCCCTAATTTCTTTATTTCCTCCTCAATTCTTCTGTCTCACAGTGTTCTCTAGAAGAACTTCCTGCAGCCCTTGGGAATTTTAAGGTATGTTGGACACCTATTGGTCTAGCACAGTGGCTCTCAACTGTGGGTGATTTTGCCCCTCAGAGGGCATTTGGCTATGTTTAGGACATTTTGGGTTGTCACAACTGGGGAGTAATATTAACATCTAGTAGGTGGAGCCTAACGATGCTGTTAAACATCCTTTAATACTCAGGACAAGGCACCACATCAAAGAATTATCTGACCAAAAATGTCAACAATGCCATTAAAAAACCCTGATCTAGCACAATCATCCTTGCAAACACTCCTGTGAGACAGCTGTTTGTAATTCTGGACTGGTCTTATTGTCAGGAATATCCTTATTATATTCAATCAAAAATTATTTTTTCTAAAACTTTTTACCTATTAGTCTTATTTCCATACCTCAGGATCTCAAAGAAAAAGAAATTGAATCCTTCATCTACATGACCGATTTTCAAATGACTGATAGTATCATATCCTCAAAGTTTCTCATTTTCAGCCTGAAAAACCACATGCTCATGTCCCGAACTCGCTTCTCAAAAAAGCATAATTTCAGAAGTGAAAGCAATCATCCAAATTAAAAGCAGATATTTTAAGATTATCAAAGTAATAATAACATAGTTACCAAGTATTGACCACAAATCATGTGACAAGGGTTTTACACACATTATATTATTAAACC